TCCCCCCCCCCCTTTTTTTTTGTTTTTTTTTTTTAATTTCCCTTTTTTTGCAAAGAAAAATCCAACCGGTCAGCGTGGTCGACGACAACGAACAAAAAGAGGGCGGTTCGTCACCTCATCGCTCTGGGTATTCTCGTGGAACATGCGGGTGTCGATTGCGGCCGCCACTAGGTTGTTCGCGGCCGTGATGGCGTGGATGTCGCCGGTCAGGTGAAGGTTGAACTCCTCCATCGGGACTACCTGCCGCCGCCGCCGCCGCCGCGGCCGCCACCCAGAGTAAAAATAAATAAAAAAAGGGCGAAAAAAAGAGCATTACAGCAGCCAAAAATCACGACGAATTTGCTCAGAATCACGCAATACAAAAAGGAGAGAAAGGGGGGGGGGAAGAGCATCACAGCAGCCAGAAAGCAAAAAAATTATGACGAAAAAAAGGGTAAAAGAACATCACGACCAATTCGCCCAGATCATGCAATACAAAGAAGGCGAAGAAAAAAGTATCACAGGCAGCTAAAGAATCGTGACAAATAGGGGGTAAAAGATCGCCTGCCAATTCGCCCCACAGAATCACAACCCAATACATAAAACGTAAACGAGCGAAACAGTCAATAAATTTGACACATGCAGGTTGACGGATTTCGGAACAAGGGTGCGGAGGGGGGAGAGAGAAGGTCCTGCGGGGGCGGTGTGGTATGTGATAAGCTGTCGCTCCCCAGTGCCCCCGCCCTTCTGCAATAGCTCCAGAGAACATACATTTGCACAGCGTCTCGATTATGTTGTCTGGTATTGCGGAGTTTGTGCTCCTGCAGAAAAAGAAAACAACAGAGAGACATCCACCCCCACACACCCCACACAACAACGTGTGGATTCGGATACATGTAACTTGCTCTGCCACTCATCGAACCTAGAGAGTCCGCGCTGGGGTACCGTTCAAGACAAGAAAAACAAACACGGAGCCCCCACCTGACTGTACCCCCCTCCCGCCGCCCCTCCTTTGATGCCGAAAGTGGGCCCCTGAGAGGGTTGCCGAATGTTCGCGAACACTTTCTTCCCCAGGTGGGCCCCCAAAGCCTTCGGCAACACCAGAGCGCGTAGAAACGCCGGGAGGGAACGACGGTCATAAGAGTTAAAAACGTGGGGGGGGCGGGACACCTAAATGGAGAAAAGGCGAGGCCCTGGCGTGAGGGTGACAGTTGATATCAAACCAACTCGCCTGGGATGGACGAAGCGATGGTACGCCGAGGCGACAACTAACTAGCGACACACACCACGGCAGTTCGCCACTCCCGGGGTGCAAAGTGGGGCGGGTATACCACTATCGAGAACACACCGCGACGGGCCCCCCCGCCCCGTGAGCAGGTGGCTCCTCCTTTTCGGTACGGAACACAAAATTGACAGCCGTGTTGGGCAGCGGAGCTTAGGCACAACGCACCCCAAGAAAGAGTAACCTTCACTATCCCAGAAATTGTATATCCAAGCACAACTCAGCAACCAGTCGGCTAGAGAGGTCGACCCCCCCCCCCCCCCCCTACCGCCTCAAATCCGCACTTGATTGTCCTGGGTGTCCCGTTTCGTGCGCCCACACCTACCTACCTGCGTTAACCCCACGGTCGTCGTGCTCTTGCCTTCCCCAAGAGGCGTCGGGTTGATCCCTGTCACCACCACGTAGTTACCATTGGGGGAGCTCTCCAGCCGCCGGCACACGTCAAGGGAAACCTGCAGCGTTATTGGGGTGGGGGGACCGGGGCCGGGGAAACGGAGGGTTTTCCGGGGGGGTGATTTCAACATCAGACATATGAGATGTACTGATTGTGTCGTGTTAGATCCCACGTGGTTGCTGGGTGCTCATCACCCTATTATAGCTGTCCCCCGGCCAGTGCTTTAAAAGTCGTTCCGTTTTCATGCGTCTGGTGTCGTAGTTGCAGTCAACCAGCAAGCACTTCCGAGGAGCCGTGGCTACATGCGGATCGTTCCGCCGCCAGTATACTGATCGGGCTTAGCGTGGCGTGCTGGCTCCCCCCTACAACGGCGACATCCTGGATGGGTACGCCAGCACCCATGATCCCTCTGTTTTATCTGGGGAGGGCTGTCGTGCAGCGGTGCCGCTGAAAGCGGCAAAACAGAACGGGCCCGCAGTTGAGAAATGTTTCGTTCAAGAAACAGAGGCTCGAATGACACGGCAGTTTGACGTGGATTAGATAAGCAGTTGATGCAGTGTCTACATGTATAACCCTTACCCTTTATACGTTGGCGTACGCGCTGCCTTTGCTAGGAGCTCGTAGGAGTTATCTTATCTACAACAGTGCGCTCGGCAGATGAGATGAGTTAAGGAGAGCTAGGTCACATGTAGATGACACTGCATCAACTGCCTATCTAATCCACGTCAAACTGCCGCATCACAAATTCAAATTTTCACGAAAAGAAAAAAATGGGTTCAAGAAACACAGCTCAACGGTGGATCTCAGACTAATCTCTACATACCAGCCTGCGCTTGGCGACGAAATAAAAAACGGAGGCTCGGCCAGATCTCGACGCTTTTTATTCGCGTCCGTTCTCCATGTAACACTAAACGTCCCCTGATACACCCATTGTGCTGCATTTTACACCCGTGACCACCCTACTGCGGAAGCGCATTCCCTTGAACTGCGGTTCTACTTTCCGGCGGGAGAGCTTGCTTTATTTCCGTGCCTGTCATATGCATATATACCACGCTCGTGATTTTGCCGGGTCCTTTTCCCTCCCGATTGTTTTTGGCGCGTGGTATGTACCTCTTCTATGGGCAGCTCGCCCGTCAACAACGGGAAGCGTCGATGTCAGTTGGGCCAATATGGATGTCAGAAGGTATTCTACTGAGCGGAAATCAGGTTGAATGTTCATGTTTACCAATTTTATAGTCCCTACGTTGCACCAACACCTTGTATTATGTTTATCTCTCCAATCGGCAAAGAAGAGGGAAAATATCACTCCGGATAATAAGTGGCGTGCACAAGTCCTTGGGCTCCACACGGTACAGAGAGCGATGGACTCAGAATGTTGGGAGAAAAGGGCTCCAGCATTCAGTTTGGCGGCGGGGTATTTGTTGCCGTCACGTCGAAAACCTCCCAGAAACCCTCTGTCCCTCTGCCGTTGTTGTTGTTGTTGTTGTTGTTGTTGATGTGTTTGTTTGGTGTTGCTATTAATTGTTGTAGGTTGTTATTGTAGGGTTAGGTTGTTGTTGTTGTCGTTGTCGTTGTATCTGCCCAGTACCCTCTAATATCCGTGCGAGTCCAACTGACGCGGGCACCTTCCGTGGTCACAGGCCACAGGCCAAGATACCCAAAATCTTGTACCACGGTATGCAAAAAAAAGAAAAAAAAGAACGAAGATGCCCTCGTTCGTGTTGTAGCACAAAGACTTGAAAATTATTCAAAAGTTGATCAGAGGTACACACCGACAGCGGTGCTTTCACTATGCTGCCCATGTGATGATCCAGCAGCAGAAAAGCACGCCCTGCCTCGACTCTGCTGCTGCTGCTACTACTGCTGCTACTCCTAGACAGCAGGATCATCATGTTACACGCGTTAACGCACACCAGCAGATAGGGGTTCCGCGGAGAATCGTCTGTGGGGGGGGGTCGAAAATGACGTGGACCACGTACGCGTGTGTGCGGAAGGTTGGATGTGCGTATCTTTTCCGTCTTCTATCTTGCAGAGTTTTCAAAACCTTCTACATACATAGCTCGCCTGCCTACATTTGCATCTCTCTGCTGCCGTGTTGATTGGCTATCCCATAGAGTCTAATCGCTTGCTGATCTCCAGTACACCCATAACACCTGGAGGTCCCAACATGCTGCGCACAACTTTGAACCTATACTCTGTCTAACACATCAAGCTGCGAAATATGTCTGATCTCCTGCATCAGCAGCAGCCAACTCACCTTCGCCTTGAAGCGACCGTAGGGCTCTAGCTCCGACTCTAGGATGCCGCAGTCCTCCGCCACCTTGGAGATGTGCGCCAGCGAGCCTTCCAGCGACTGAGATACTTCGATGTCGCGAGGCACTGGGGAGGAGACTTGATCGCTCGTGAGCTTCGACATGTTTTTGCTGGGGCTTTCGAGCGTAGTAGAACGCCGCCCAACCAGCTGGGTGTGGCGAGCCGCAGCAGCAAGAGGCAGGCGGCGGGTAGAGGGGTAGGAATACGGGAGGAGTCGCAGCACAGAAATGTTGCAAACACGCGCGAACGAGAACGGTGTTGGGTCAGGCAATCACGCTGTGTGCTTGCTGTGCGTGTGCGGCACGATTTGGGGGACAAAAAACGCCAACGTTGAAAAATACGGGGACGGAACCAGTTTATCTTTGTTTTAACACATTTCAACCCCTCCTCCAGCAGAGAGCTGCCGCAGCGCACGCTACACTCTGCAACACTTTGCTGTGTTGGTGGGCAGCAAAATGCCGGAGTCTAAGGTGGAGATGAAGAAGGAGGGAGGGGGGTCAGCTAGGCTAGGGATCGGAATTTTCAGTCGAGGCCCCCCGAGTCGCCACATGGCTATCGAAGAGGTATGTACAGCAGTGTATCACACCGACATGTCGCGGAGTGCAGTTAGTTGACAGACAGACACACACAGCGAAAGTAGGGAATGTCAGGTGTGTCACATAGTACCTTGCCTGCGCTGAGATAACTAATGTTTTCAACTCAACACACTGCAATAGCAGAGTGCCAACAGGTTCAAGAACGGTTTTTCGTCGAGACATTGGTGCCTCCTCGGTTGTGTGGGAAAGCCGCGGGATGCGAGGGGGGTGGTATCTCAAGGGGCGACCTGCTGCAGACTGCTCCTTTGATACAGTAGTGGGCCCTGTTTACAGTAGTGCCGGTCAGCAGTATATGTCCAGAGATTTTGACGGCCCTATTCCGGACACCGGCAGTATTCGAAGTACAGAACTACTTGGCATTTTAGTATGTGCGAGCCGAAACACTGGCACTATAGCGGACACCTGGCACTATTCGACCTGCACTATACAGGGCCCACTACACTGCTGTTGTTGTTGTTGTTGTTATTGTTGTTGTCTTCACATTAAAAACCGTTCCGATCTCTCTCTACCCAGTACCTTCATATGTCCGTACTGATCCAACACTTGACGCGGTCGATTCCCGTGGTCACAGGCTAACTTACCCTAAAAAGGTACCCTCAAGTAAAGCCCCGAGGGGTCCGCAAGCCAATAGAAATCGACTACAGATATTCTGGAGTCATCCACTCTCCGCTCCCTCTGCGCGCTATGCGAGGTGACAACTGAGACTAGGAGTCAGCATCACGGGCCAGAGAGAAAGAGGTGCACCCCCTTGGTTCAATCTTGGTGCTTCACAACGCAAGGAGAGACCAGGCCATCTGACACAGAAAAAGAGAGACAAAAGAGAAACAGAGAAAAAATAAAAAGGAAACAGGAAGGAAAGAGAAAAAGAAAGAAGCGAGGACAACGGGACGAAAGTAACAAGAAATAGGAAACAGACAAAGGCACACGGTGGGGAGACCACACCACTAACTGTTCGCATGGAAGAATGTACTTGCCCACCAAACGAGCAACTCTACAGGGAAAGTTATCTACGGAGGTGTGCGCGCAGCTTGGGTATGAACGAGTTCACAAGCGAGATGTTGGTGTTGCATAACCACACCGCAACCACGCGAATTGCACCAGTGTTTCCACGATCTCATCCCGGCTGGCACATCACATGTTCTGTATGCCGAGAGGTGTACTGCACTTTAGACTGACTCCAGGATATGGTAGGTACTGTAGAGAGCGTGGGACATTTTGCGAATGCTTTGGTTCCTGGTGATCAACCGCGGAGAAGCAGTCATGGACCGAGGCCACTCCGGCCGTACATGAGCGGGAGCGTCCAACTTTGCGTGCGCACCCCCAGTCCCTATCTGTCATAGCAGCAACAGCAACAACACTTTGTATCACGACAGATCACTGCCTGTTGAAAGGGGTCGGACCATGCTACATACTTGCGGGGGGAACCAGGGGCGCACGCAATTTCTGAACATGTACATGGCTATGGACCAGTTTGTCACGTGTCAAGGCAGTTTTTCTCGCTTGTTTTTCGGCAGCGTCCGTGGTAACTGTCGTGCCCTCCATCAGTCTCAGAAACAGAACCCTGCGCAAGTTCACGCTTTTGCTATTAGGATGACAAGGACCTATCGGCATGTCTCCCTTGAGAGTTACATGTGCTGGTATTTGATACATATGTTGTGTGCAATTGTCCCCCCACCCAGCATTGCCTACCCCCCCCCCCCCCCCCCCGCGCGCGAGAGCAATGATCTAGCGACATACGACATGCGTTTACGACATGTAACCCGCGCCCCCTCCTCCTCCTCACACACACACCCGACCCGTCCTTCTGCGTTGCAACCACGGCACCGAATTTTTACACGCCTCCACCAAAACATTTGTAGTACGCCGTGGACTGGAACGGCCCGTCGACTGCGCCCCCTCCGCGCCTACGGCTGTTGCTGCTGGCGGATGTGGACCTGGCCTCCGCGGGAAGGATAGTGGAGTGGGCCATTCAAGGGTGAGCATCGAGAACGTACAGTAGGTGCCAAGGGTGTGCGTGCGGGTGTTCGTCCCATAAAAAATCTGGCGCTCTTACTTGTTTGGTGTATATTGTTGTTGCCGTTGATGATATGTACTACTGCGTGCGTTGTTGCTGTTTGTTGTGGTTGTTGTTGTTGTTGCTGCTGTGCTGCTTCTGTGACTGCTGCTGTTGTTGTTGTCATTGATGATAACTACTGCGTACGTTGTTGTTGTTGCTGTTGCTGTGCTGCCACCGCTGCTGTTATCGTCATGGTGGACCTTGTTGGTATTACGCAGGTGATATACTACTGGCGTGCGTTGTTGTCGTTGCTGCTGCCGCTGTTGTTGTCGTCATCGCTCACCTACACGGACGTTGTTCCTCGCTTGCCAGCGGAAAGGCCTTCGACCTCTGCGCGGTGTGCGGCGACTTCGTTCCGAGACCGGAAGGATGGTCGCCCAACGGCGAGACGGAGGAGCAGCTCTCGGCGGAGGAGGGCGAAATGTCGTCCACGCTAGGCAAGCTTCAAGCCAGTAGGCTTCGCGAGTGTATTATGCTTGGTTTTTGTAGGGGTTACAGGGTGGTGATGGGGGTTAGGGATAGGGATACGAAACCCCGCTCTCTTTTTCTAGGGAATATATACATAAAATCGAAGAAAGATTCCCCGGTCGGGATGTAACCACACTCAGTTTCACATATTAATAATACAATTCTCGATCAGGCGGTTCGCGTCAAATGACGCCGGCCTAAAATTATGTTCTTGTAGTGTGTCGTATGATCGGCAGGGTTGCCTTAGATTCCACGAACCGATTTTCAAACCCGGTGGCTCTGTAGCAAAAATCAGAGACGGTAGGCGGTGTTGGAACCGTCTTGTCGATAGCTTGTCGGACGTGCATCGTTTGATGTCTTGGCTTCCTCTTCGTCGTGGAGAAATCGATCGGTTCAGGGAGGTGTGGCATCTTGTGCAACCTGCATGGTTTTCTCGTCCCTGGATTAGCCTCTGGCTTGGTGCTCCTCTGTCGCTTTCTTCCTTCGACATTGGCAAGGTTTTCGAGTCGAACGTGCACACGTATATTGTAGGCTCGACCTCTTCCAACAACTTGGGTACCCCCCCCCCCCCCCAACTGCTATGCCCCCGCAGCCCAGCTGGAGAACACAGTCTGTCGCGTCATCTACGTCCCGGGGCCGCTTGACCCGGTCATCCCGTCCATCCGGCTACCGCGAACGCGGAATACCGCAGCCGTGCCCACCACGGCATCGCGGCCGCCGCCGGTTGCTGCTGCCACTCCTGGCGCCGACGCTGGGCGTGGGGCCGAAGGGCGAGGGGGACAGCGGGATGGCGGGAAAGAGAGGGTCCTGCAGCTGACGCCGACGTCGAAGAACGTGTTGCGGTGAGGGTCCGGTGTTGTTGTTGTTGTTGTTGTTGTTGTTGTTGCTCCTGTTTTTTTCGTTGTTTTTGTTGCTGATAGTGTCGTTGCTGTTGCTGTTGCTGTGGTGGCAACGCGTCAGTCTCGCCCAATTAGGCTGCCGGTTGTTACTAGCAGAAGGAAAGGGCGGTTCGCCTGGAAAGCGATGCGTGCTCAATGTCAAAGACTATTCCAAAGCGGCTGACCCCGCCCCCCCCCCCCCCCTCTTGCTTGTACGCAGACGAAACCTCCGCCTAGCCCCCGGCCTTTCCGCGGCGGGATTCTCCGAAGACCCGAACCAATGTCCAGGCAACACGGTCGGAGCCGGGGAGGGTGGTGGTGGCGCCGGCGACGACACCCCCGAAGATCAGACCTTCGCCGCCCTGAAATCTCTCAGCCGGAGCGGCGGCAAGAAGGGGGCCGGAAAGGCGGCGCCGGTACCGCCGGAGTCGGTCATCCTGCTCACGAGGCTAGGCGGCCCGCGACGACCAGGCGGCGGCGCCGGCGGGGCCGGGGCCACCGTCAGCTCTGCCGATACGCCGCCGACGTCGAACAGCAACAGTAACCAGGACACGCTGAACGTGGCGAAGAGAGCCGCTGGTCCGACCGAAGTAGAGGATCAGGAGGCGGCCACGGCCGCACGGCTCCGTCTGCTGTGGACCGAGCCGGCCATGGCGGTAGGGCCGGAATCGGGGCCCCGCGGTTTGGAAGACGGCGGGGGCGGCGGGTTGCTGCTGCACGCGTGCGCAGGTCCCGGAACCCTCCTCGCGGTCCGCGAGGCTCTCGAGGAGGGAGGAGCGGAACCGGTCGGCGGAGGAGGGGCTGGGGGCGACGGCGATTGCGCGCGGGGGGTAGGGTGCAGGGTCGGGGGGGGCACCACCGTTGCCGCGCTCGGAAGCCTGAGGCAGCACGGCGCGTACTGCGTGGTGGAGCTAGACATGCCCGCCACCGTGCCACCGGGACCAAGAAGCGGCAACGGCAGCGGCGGCGTAGGGGCGAAGGAAGGCTGGTCGGTGGCGAGTGTCGCCTTCGGTAGGGTGGAGGCGGCCGATGGGGATCCGGAGGCGGAGAGGGAGAAGCTGGCTCACAGGGCAACCGGGAGCTTCGTGCTCAATTTTGAGTGACGCTGTTGTTTCATGTACAGTGCCAGGCCGTACAGCACATACGAGTTCACTGCTTTTGTGGCCTGGACTCGTATCTTGTCTGTGGATAGAGGTGGAGCTCTTGTGTTTTTGTAAGAAAGTAAACGAGGCGTTTGCGTCTATTATCGTTGGTGATTTGAAGTTGGATTTTAGTTATTTTTCTTGTTAAAGGACGATCGCGACTTTACTTGCCCGCGACAAAACACCCGAGCTGCAAGACCTGCGTCCAAATCCAAGCACTACGTGCATACAAAGGAAGTGGATGGGACAAGGATGAGCCCATGCACATCAGGCTTGTGTGTCTTTTTTCTGTCCGAAGCGATGGGTTCACGGCATGGTTCAGTTCAAGTAGGCGCTGTGCGTGAATGTTGGCAGTCAGTCGGAGGCCGGCTTGTTGAGGGGGAGAGTTGATGTTTCGTCGGTGTTTCTTTGTGAAAGGGGTGCTTTTTTCCGAGCGATGACCGGGAGGATTGGGGTGATGATGAACGGTTGCTGGGCACACACCCTAGATGCCCCCAGACTGCCCTCGGCAAATGTCGTAGCTTGGAGAGTCCTGGCTCTAATGTCGATGCCACGCTACGACACGAAAGCTTGTAAGGACGAGACGTTTCAATATGTTCGCTTTTGTCGTTTTCTACGCTTGCTTGTGAGTGCTCCCAACACAGCGGCAACGCGCTACCGATCGAGACCTTCAATTTATCGGTCCGTCGTTTCCGCCGCGTGTGAGTGCCCCAACACAACGGCAACAAACCACTGACGAGACCTCCAATTTATCGTTCCGTCGTACCCGCCGCGTGCGAGTGTTCCCAACACAGCGGCAACAAACCACTGATCGAGACCTTCACTTTATCGCTCCGTCGTTCCCGCCGCTTGAGTGCCCCAACACAACGGCAACAAACCACTGACGGCAGCGCTACAATTTAGGACGTAATTCGTCTTATTCAGCAAACCCACACGCGCACGCACGTGCACACACGAACATCTACAGTACCTTGAAGAACCAAGCTCCTGGAGAACGGTCATTAGGAATCCTCTCCCTCCACACGCCGTCTTTATACCCAACCACCCGCCAGACAGAATCAAGACACGAGACAATCAAAGACAACGCAGAAATCAGTCACAAGACGCAGCAGGAGCCGAGCAAGTGCGGAAGACACCGAAATATGCAAGTTGTGTGACCACCGGCAATACTGCTCTTGCCGGTGGACCCACATGGACAACAACAGCAAGACAACACTATCGGTGCATTTATGCACACACGCTCAGCAAACGATATCGTAACGTAACGGTCGTGTTGCACAGAGTATCAACGCCGAAAAATCAGCCCCTTTACATTTAGTCTATAAGCCGCTTGTGAACACGGCGCGGGTCTGGTGACGGTTTCATCTAGAATCCCAGCAAGCAACAAATAAACTCTGTGCGTACTTCCCGCTTCGTATCTAGTCTAGATATCAACAGCAACGTACCAGATCCGCATAAACCAGATATCAACAGCACCGTGCCAGATTGGCAACACGAACAGCCGAGCTAGCTTTTGTCGGAAAAGCGCTCGACGGCAGCGCCGAGGTTTTTTTTTTAGCTCGCAAATGGTACGGCAAAACTCGCTGTGGCTCTTTCCAACAATAGGCTGACCAACATCACTTCTCGCCAAGACATCTCGCAAGAGTCTTGCGTTGTAACAACTTCCGTCGCCGCTCTATCCCTCCCGATGGCCATGCATGCGCCACGTTTATATATTGCGTCCGTCTACGGTGCTCGATAGGGACCCGCCTTCCCGACACGAAAAAACAATCACCGCACGCTCCCTCGTAGCACCAACGCAGGCATTCTCACACAAAGCTCATCATCGTGGCAGCTACGAACGGGGGGCTACGAACACCACACCGCCCCAAGCCACAGAGCCGCACAGCACGCCACAGAAATTTTAGCAACATTTCGCAAAGAAATCCCCCAACATACACCCATCAAACGCCACAAAGCATGTTCACCGGCGTTGACCCGCTCCGCCTTCAGCTTGCACATCAAATCGCGTAGCTAACCGTGATCACCGCGACCGGAACCCCCCCCCCCACGCCCATATGAAGAAAAAAACGCCGTCACGCTCTACATCCTATGAGAACAGAGGTTGGTCAATATTGACCGGCCGCGGGCTGGTGCGAAAAAAAGCGCCCGAGGGTTCGAAGCACCACACCACCAGCGTACGACAGCCACCCATTCTTCGATCGCCCACAGGGTCCCCGCGGTACCTGTCCCATGGCACACGCCGCCCGCCGAGGTCACGAGGTTCGAAGCACCACACCAGCCATCGGCAGGCAGACCCTTCCGACCCAAAGGAAGGTAGGTCACCGCAGCGTTCTGTCCCGCACGACGCCCGCTCGCCCGCGCCACGAAGTTCGAAGCACCGCACCAGCCAGCCCTTCCGACCCGAAGGAATACCACCTCGGTAGTGTCCTGTCCCCCCATGGCATGACACACCCCACCGCGTCACGAGCACAGCGCCAGCGACGGGAACCACGCGTGCTCGCCTGCCCCGGCCTCCGACACGCAGCAGTCCGCCAGGAACGCCGCCGACCCCGCCAGCCCCTCGAACAGCGACATGGGCCTGTCCGGCACCGCCTGCGACGGCATCTCGCCGCCGGCGCCGCAGGCGCCGCCGCTGCCGACGGAGTGGGACCTACCCCCGGCCCCGGCCCGGCCGCCCCCGGCGCCGCCGTCGCCGCCGCCGTCCCCACCGGCGCCGTTGCAGCCGTTGCTTGGCCACCCGGCCGAGTGGATGCTCTTGCCCGCGTCGTGGGAGGACGAGCGGCCGAGGCCAAAGCCGCCGCCGCGGGGGTGGTGGACGTGGGCGCCGGGGCCGAAGGGGTCTCCGCGGGAGGAGGCGTTTGCGCCGGTGGAGGAGTTGGGGCCGAGGACGGCGGAGGCCGCAAAACCTGGAGGGGGCGGGGGGGGGGGCGATGCCTTAGGGGTTAGACCACGCGAGAGGGGGGGGGCGTACTCAAGTTTCGCATGCCTTAGCGGTCAAGCCAGCAAGCCAGCAAGCATCAAGGAAGCAGGTGAGCAAGCAAGCAATAAGCAAGCAGGCAAGCAGGCAAGCAGGCAAGCAGGCAAGCAGGCAATCAGGCAATCAGGCAAGCAGGCAAGCAGGCAAGCAGGCAAGCAGGCAAGCAGGTAAGTAGGCAGGCAACCAAGCAAGCAACCAAGCAAGCTACCAACCAACCAACCAAGCAAACAAGCAAACAATCAAGCAACCAAGCAAGGCACCCACCAGCGAAACTCCTGGCCCTGTGCTGGTGTCGCCCGTCGGCGGCGTCGGCTTTTCTCAGCGACAGGAAGGCGTAGCCGTTCCCCGCCACCCCGTGGCAGATGCCGTTGCCCTTCGTCAACAGGCCCCTCTTCCACACCACCTCTGACGACCGTCTCGCCATCTCAAGGTACCTGCTCCATCATCCCGGGGGCGGGGGGGCGTAGTCGTGGTTTCATGCTATGGTTGCTGGACAAACGCGTCCTCGAGAGGACGGAGCGTTGTTCCCACCGGACCCAGTACCGATGGCAAACCGGTTTGCCAAAGGTTGCTCCAAAATGTTGTTCCCATCCCCATCTATCCATGACACTGGGGTACACTCATGTTTGCATGCCATAGTTGTTCACCACGCGTCCTCAAGAGGACGGAGCATTGTTCCCACAGGACCGGTCGCCGATGGCAAATCGTTTCGCCAAAGGTTGCTATAAATGTTTTTCTAACCTAAATATCCATGACTTCGGGGTACGCATGTTGCATGCCATAGTTGTTACACCACGTCCTCGGAGAGGACGGAGCATTGTTCCCACAGGACCGATCGCCGATGGCCAGTCGTTCTGCCAAAGGTGGCTCATTTTGTTTTTTACTATATTATCTATCTATGACACCGGGGTGCTCAATGTTTTCGGATGCCCTAGTTGTTAGACCACGTCCTCGACAGGGCGGAGAAATGTTTCGATGTTTCCCACAGGAGCGATCACCGATGGCCAATCATTCTGCTGAAGATTGCCCAAAAATGTTTATTTTCCTATCTTTTCTATATATTGACACCGGGGTGCTCATGTTTTCGCATGCCTTAATTGCTAGACCACGTCCTCGAGAAGGCGGAGCAATGTTTTCTCACAGGACCGATCACCGATGGCCAATCGTTCTGCCAAAGATGCCCCAAAAGCATTTTCCCTATCACATCTAATCCATGACACCGGGGGGTTATTCCAAGCCTCCAAACCGGAACGTGGTCAGGGGGGGTTCCACAAAATATGGCCGACATCGCGCGCGGGTGTTGCTGCTGTGTTGCGACGATGGGAATGCTCATTCTGGGGTGGCACATACATGATGAACTTCAACATCATACGGCAGAAACGGGGGATGATATATCTATTCGACAGCAGTCACCCCTCTTTGAGAAAAATTATGCGAAAGAAGTTGATCTACCATTTATACAAGAGCCGAAGTAAAAACAACGAAAATGAAACACTGAAACCTGTCGTTAATACAAAAATTGAGCGTTTCGGGTATTGCGCCGCGCTCGCCCCTCACCTGTCGTCTTCGAACACCTCGTGGGCTTTGGTGAGCATTGGGATGATGCCGGGGGAGCCGTGGCACCACTGCACCAATCTGGCGATCGCAACGAAGAAGGCGATGTAACGGGTAGGGGGGAGGGTACTCATCTAAAAGCATTGCCGTAGTCGATATCTCCGTAGACCTCGCATCCCTCAATGACGGTATCGAGGTGCTTGTGACCATGTGGTGTGCCGTACCGTAGCGGTTCAAGAAGAGGGGTCGCTCGCTCGCAACTCCACCAAACCGGCAAGCAGATAAGCATTCCGGAGTAATTGCTGAACATGCTCCCCTAGCATCAACCACAGAGAGCCTCCGAGGCTTTCGCCGGAGTCTCGTGTGAAGGGTGAAATGAATCCTACGGAGATTCGCGTGTGTTTAAGCGGGCCTGGGAACTACGTGGTTGGTTTACGGGCGACACCGCAAGGCATCGAGCCGCAGAGAGTCCATCGGAACCACCCAGATGGACCGTGGAACCACTAGGTACGTAAAGAGAGGAGAGAGCGAATCAAAAGCTTCGGGCGAAGCAGTAGTAGTCCAACGAGAGGCCATCATGACGAGCTTGTGCACCCCGAACGCATACAGTACATGCGGCCAACGCCTTGCGTTCCGGCCCCCCTCTGCGCCCTCCCCCTGTCGGGTGATGCCACGCACTACACGTAGAAAGAGTCGTCGCGCCATTCTCCCCGAACAAGCTTCATTCCATTCGCTAGTCAGTTAACAAAAATGGCGAGGCCAGTGCTAACTATCCAAACAACGCGCGCGCAGCACATGCACACAGACGCGCGCGCCATGGGAAACACGTGCAGTTTTCTTCTGTCACTGTTACGGTATGTGTCTTCAATCCGGAGTGTGGCGTAGACTCCCCCATGACGCTCAGTCACAGGGTCCCAGATCGTGGCCCATAGAAGCATTTTTTGTTTTCCACCGCACTGAAACTGACGTATTTTCATTGGTCAGCCGGTCAGCGCGGTCGCTGCTAACAAAAAAAAAAAAAACACACACACACACTTTGATCCGGAGGATAGTTTAGCCTCCCCCATGCTGCCCCCTAACGGGGTCCCAGTTCATGGCAGATGGAAGTGTTTTGTGCTTTCAACCGCACTAAGACTGACGTCTTTTCATTGGTCAGCCGGTTAGCGCGGTCGATGCTAATAAAAAAAACACACACGCTCACCTGTCGTCAGCGCTGACGGGTCTCGAAGGAAAGTTTCCTTCCGGCAGGACCGTGTTGAGAACGGCATCAACGGTGCTGCGGATCAGATACAGCTGTTCCGCGGCCTGCACACCACGCGAGAGAAAGAGGCACCGCGGAAGAGAGACGGGGGGGGGGGGGGGGGGGACCCTTATGTTTTGGATGGCTTAACGGTTAAACCATTGACCCCCCGTCCCCCAAAGGACGGGGCATTTTTCCCCCAGGACCGAACCCCGAGGGGCATTTTTTCCTTCCCACTTTGCCAAAGGGGGGCCAAAAATGTTTTCCCCAATCTGGTTATCCCAAAGAAATCCC